GGGCGTGGCCCTGACGATCTGGGCCACGCCCCCAACGTGAGCGGCATAGCACGTCACTTCCTGTGACGTGCCGGTGGCGTGCATGTCCTGGGAGAGCTCCTGGAGCCCGGCAAGGCTCCCCTGCCGGCAAGGGTAAGTACACTTGGCAACCCTAACCAGGGTTGACCCCGCTTAGTTTCTGGGATCTGATGAGACTGGGTTAACCCAGGCTATCCAGGTCAGGGCAATGCAAAATTACATTCGCATATTGCCAATACACTAGGTATGAAATTCAGAATTTATTTATTTATTTATTTAGATTTTTGACTCACCCTCCCCTGTTTCTGCAGGCCTCAGGGTGAGTAACAACATACCAAATAAAAACAATAACGAATAAATTAAAACAGTTTAACATCAGTCAGCAACAGTCAGATGGCATGATAATATAATCTCATTAGGGACATTTAACCATATAACGACTAGGGGAAGCCCACAAAGAGAAGCGGGGGGGGAGGGACGGCTATCAGATGGAATTGCTTATCTCCTCAGTCATAAGAAAAGAGAAGTGTTAAGACTGAAGTACGGAACTTTTCTAAGGAGCTGCGGTGGCTCAAGTGGTTAAGACGCTGAACTGCAGGCTGTGGAAGGTCGGTAGTTCAGCAGTTCGAGACCTGAGTGTGCCGCATGGAGTGAGCTCCCGTCTCTGGCCCCAGCTCCTGCCAACCGAGCAGTTCGAAAGCAAGAAATTGCAAGTAGATAAATAGGTACCGCTTCGGTGGGAAGGGAACAGCGTTCTGTGCGCCTTGGTATTTAGTCATGCCGGCCACATGACCACGGAAACGCCTTCGGACAGCGCTGGCTCTTCGGCTTGGAAACGGAGATGAGCACCGCAACCCTAGAGTCGGACTCGACTGGCTTTCGAGCAAGGGAACCTTTACCTTTACCTTACGGAACATTCCTGTTTCTTACATTTGAAAACATCTGCCTTTTCCTTACCTGTGCGACCGTGCCCCGGCCCTTTCCCCATTCCTTGATTAAAATAGGGGAGAGCTGGGTGGTGGTGGAAAGTGCCGTCAAGTTACAGCTGACTTACAGTAACTCTGTAGAGTTTTGAAGGAAATAAATGAACAGAGGTGGTCTGCCACTGCCTGCCTCTGCATCGCAACCCTGGGCTTCCTTGGTGGTCTCCTGTCCAAGTACCAACTAGGGCTGACTCTACTTGGCTTCTGAGATCTGATGAGACTATGCTAACCCACACCATCTAGGCAGGGAAGGAGTTAACTATCGGCTTGATCAAAACTTCCCTGATATTATGATATATAAGACAATCGAAAATTACATGTTCCAACGTTTCATCAGGTCCCATCCCACATATACAACTTTTCCTCAGTGATCTAGTATATCTGGCCTCCATTATGGCTGAGGGTAAGGCGTTGTATCTTAATAGGGTAAAAATTCTTCTATGATTGCTGATATCTAAATATTTGATGTAAGATCTCACAACTATCTTGTTAAGTGTACTTACATCAAATACAGGGCTCCTAATCCTACTCACGTCCATCTGTCGTTCAACATCTAATATTCTTTGTTTTAGAACTGATCTAGCTGGCTGGTGGGGGGAGCCCCGCTCCCGAAAAGCCCCGTCGCACCCAGCACAATGATGTCACCTGGAGGCGATGTCATCACGCCTGGCACGTCATGCGGGGGACACGCTACCATTTGAGTAAAAACTCTATGGTGATGCCAAGGGACTCTAGGAGCCGGGCTGGAGCCCCCCACCGGGACCCAGATAAGACCTGGCAACCCCGCATGAAGGTCAGGGCAAAAATTGTGCTGGAAAGTGCTACCAAGTTGTAGCCAACCCCTGTAGGGTTTTCAAGGCAAGCGACAAACAGAGGTGACTTTCCATTGCCTGCCTTTGCGCAGCAACCCTGGACTTCCTTGTGGCCTACCAGCCATGGACTAACCAGGGCTGACTCTACTTAGCTTCCAAGATCTGACGAGACTGGGCTAGCCGCCCTGGCCTTCCAAGCCAGGGCATGGGGGAGTTGCCAGGGCCAGGATTACTGCTCCAGAGACCAAATCTGGCACGCAGGCCATCCCAAGTCTAGAGGAGGTCACCATACCACCAAAGCGCCTGCTCCCTCTCCCCGTTTCTTCTGTTTCTGAGGGTCACCTTACCTCCATATTCTTGCAGAACGTTGCGTTTGTTCCGAAGAGGATCTGGCACTGCTCGTCTGCACTGTAATGCATCCCAGGAAGTTTGTAAGGAAGCCGTACAGCATATCGGCTACGCGGGTCTGTGACCAGCAAACAGCTACTGATCTTGGACCTGCCAAGTTAAACACATATTTAAGAGAGGGAAACTCTAAATTTCTGATGCAGATTCACCCTGTGTGCCATTAAGGAGACAGGCTCTGATTGCTCCCTGCTGAAACTTAAGAGTCTTATTCATTTATTATTCACTTATATAAGTATTATTTACTTATTTACATGGGAAAGAGCAGGTAGAGAAAGAGGTACTTTTCTCCCTTTCTCACAATACAAGAACTCGTGGGAACTCCATGAAATTGCTGAGCGGTCGGGTTAGAACGGATAAAAGTAAGTCCTTCTTCACCCAAAGAGTGATTAACACTTGGAATTCACTGCCACAGGAAGTGGTGGCGGCTACAAGCATGGACGGCTTCAAAAGGGAATTAGATAAGCATATGGAGCAGAGGTCCATCAGTGGCTATTAGCCACAAGATATAGATAGGGACTCTGGAGCAAGTGATGCTCCTTCTTGGTGCTTGGGGGGGGGGTCAACAGTGGGAGGGCTTCTAATGTCCTGGCCCCACTGGTGGACCTCCTGATGGCACCTAGTATTTCTGGCCACTGTGTGACACAGAGTGTTGGGCTGGATGGGCCTTTGGCCTGATCCAACATTGGCGTCTCTTATGTTCTTATTTTCATTAAATCTATCAATTGCCCACCCTGCAAGCAGGCTCTGGGCGATTTACAGCCCATTATAAAAACATTTAAAACACAATCAGTATATATAATAATTTAAAAGTGATCCAAGATGGCAATATAATAATCCCCCTGTATCAGCCACACCACTGTCCCGCATGGCAGGGCGGGGAAGGGTACGTGGGGTCCACAGAAAGGAAAGGAAGGGTGCCACTCTTAACCGCCTGTTGCTGTCGTCAGCCAAAAGCCTGGCGGAACATCTCTGTCTTACAGGCCCCAGGTCGGGGCCAGGACCAAAAAGGCTCAGGCCCTAGTTGAGGACCACCAGACCTCCTTAGGGCTGGAGATCACCAGCAAGTTGTTACTAGCCAATTTCAGCGTTCTTTTGGGGACATATTGGATATATCTTGGGTGAATGGGGACATATCTTAGGTGAATGGGAGTTCAATTCAATATGCATATGTATCTGCCAGATTTTACAAGCTGCCACACAAAACTTCACACTAAGTGCTGAGACGAGTGAGAAGGCGAAACAGATTTTAAAGCAAAGGGTGATGGACATTGAGTGGCAGACAGACTTAGAGAGGTCACTGAGTTACCTGTCTTCAGAAAGCTCTAGATATGTCGTTTCCATCACCAAGCAATGGATAAAACCGCAGCCAATTCTTGTATTTCTGTGGTGAAACTCTGCGGACTTTTATTAGCAAATGGAATTTTTAAAGTAACCGGCTCTGCTATTTTCTGATCTGGAGGTATTCTTCGCTTCATCCTGTGTCACCCCACATTAATTGCCTTGGTCCTTTGAGCTAAACGGTTAAGGCATTGTGGGGGAACCCTTGAGTGGATGGCCACATCTGGAATTTGGAGGAGCAGTTCGTTGGCTCCCCAGATAGATCTCTCCCACTTTATCCATAAGACTCCTCACCCAAATACTCTATGGTGTTGAAGTATGGGGATGGTAAGATCAAACCCAAATTCCAAGCTGGAAATAATCCAAAATAATTTTATGAGGCGCATTCTGGCGCTCCCACAGGGGACACCAGCAGCCAGGATGCGAGCTGAGCCTGGCTTACCCTCAATAAGGGCTCGTGCACATGTTATAATCTTGAAACTTTGGAAGAGACATCAGCTACCCAATACTAGCACTTTTCTGGACGACTTATTATCCCCTTCAGGTAACGACTTACATTTGCGGGACTGGTCAATCCTAAAAGTAATCAACCCTGACTGTTCCCTGGAAGGCCAGATAATGAAACTGAAGCTCACATACTTTGGCCACCCAATGAGAAGGGAGCACTCACTGGAGAAGACCCTGATGCTGGGAAAGATTGAAGGTCAAAGAAGACGGGGACGGCAAAGGATGAGATGGTTAGACAGTGTCATCGATGCAACGAACATGAAGTTGAGCAAACTTCAGAGGATGGCGGAAGACCGGAAGGCCTGGAGGGAGCTGGTCCATGGGGTCGCAAAGAGTCGGACTCGACTGTGCGACTGAACAACAACAACAACAAATCAGTCGACAGAAATTTGGACCACGATATCCAGCATTTAAAACAGACCACTCTAGAGCCTCCTATCTGGCTCTTATTTCAATATATAGCATAAGGGCACTCACTGCTCTTCGCTTTCAGACCATGCCATCTGAGCTGTTAAAAGGACAACACCTCAAAACCCCGTATGATTAGGGTTGCCAAGTAAAAAAACCTCACCGGCAGGGGAGCCTCGCCGGGCTCTGGGAGCTCTCTCCAGATGCGCGCGCCGCCAGCACATCACAGGAAGTGACGCGCGATGTCGACCACGTTGAGGGTGTGGCCCCGATCATCGGAGGGAAAACCATAGAGTTTTCCCTCCGACGATCCGGGCCACGCCCCCAACGTGGTTGACGCGGCACTTCGGGGGGCGGAGTTCCCCCCGGGGCCCGATTCTGCGGCGGCGGAAATCGGGCCTCCAAAGCGGGGGTTTACCCGCCCCCACTTGGCAGCCCTACGTATGATCAATGTATCTGTCTGTGCGGGATTTCGGTTGAAGATCTAACACATTACATTTTAGAATGCCCTCTGTATACTGGCCCTAGAATCAAATTTCTTAACCCAGTCCTAATATTTCTTAACCCAGTCCTAGCACTGAAATAGTAACCTTTTTGCTCCCAGACGTCAATCCCACTATCTCCTATAGAATGGCACTCTACGCTCATGCTGCACGGAAGATTAGAGATAAGGCTACGGAATGACTGTACTTTCAGAATGTGCTATTTGAGAAACCTGGTTTTAAAACTTATATTCATACTTCATCTGTATATTTTAATTTCCTTTTAAATGTATTGTCAATCTTTGTACTGTTTTTTTATCTTTCATATTGTGATGGCCATTGGCTACATGCAACAAACTTTGAACTGAACTGAACCATAAGACTCCTACTGCTCTTTCAGCCAATGAAGGTGGTAGTTAATGTTCCTATATGTCTTTTTCAGTGAATTTAGTCTGACTGCAAAAGCTGGAATCAACTGGGTGCCCTGGAGAGGGAAGCGCTAAGAGCTGAAGGAAGAGAAGGAAAAAAAACTCAATGTAACTTCTCTTATGTCAGCACTGGCCGGAAGATGAAGAGAGATCTATGAAATTCAAGTTTCTCTGTGGTAATCAGACATCCCAACGGCAGGGAATGAAACATTTCCTTCAAACAGAAAGAGCTATTGAAAAGTATCCAGGCATATCTTCTATTGTCACAAACCGCTGACAGGGTTTGATTTGAAAAACAGAGGCGGACTGGGATCCTTTTCAAGAAGCTATCAAGATGCTGAAATTTGGGTATCACGGTGCTTCTGTTCTCTTGCCAGTGGATTCCTCCCCACCCCAAGGCCCCAGGTGCCAAAGATGCTGCTATCTTTTGGCCCCGGCCTTTCAAAATCCCTCACCGTCTTGCTAGGAGACAAGAGGCTGCTGTCTCCCAAGTCAAAGGCCCCACATCCTTCCAAGTCCTTACTTGAAGAACTTCTCAAGGTCGTCACGGCTGCAGGAAGACCAAGAGAGGTCGCTTGGGTTCCGGCCCTTCACCCATTCTCCAGACATGATGTGAGATCTCCCAGTGCAGGACGCGTGGTCATCGTCATGGCTCATTCCCATGCTGTCAGAGGCGAAAGACACAAAAAGCGTTTTTTTTAAAAAGCATTTCCAGGTACCCCCGGAGCTTTCCCCATTCTTTTTAAAAAGCTACAAGACACTGTTTTCATTCAGTGCTGGTAACAGTGGGAACGTTTCTAAAATGAGGCATGGTTTGTGGAGAAAAACCGCCACACGTGAACTTTTCCTTTCTCCACCGTAATACTCAGCATCACCTAGTGAAATCGATGGGCAACAGACAGACAGCATGGTTTACTGGTTAGCGTAGGAAAAGGAGGAAGGGAACAAAAACTTAACCCCTCCCCCCAAAAAAAATTAAGAACCTGAAAAGTTAAATGGATACAAATTAGAGGGCCCACTGTTAAAATCAATAAATATAACATAAATATTACAAATTATCAAAAATACATGTATTTATTATGAATTAGTTTTAAAAAAACCACTATAGGCCCAACTGTAGCCTCCATAAGAATTTCAAATTGCACAGTATGCACAATCAGGACCTCATGCGACCCTAAAACAGATGCGTTTCGGCCTACCAGCCTTCTTTAGTGGTCAAGCATAAATGGTGCACATAGGCTCAATCACTCCAATACTAATATTAATCAATATAGGACCAAGTGAAAATTACATCCTGATAAATATCAGTAACTCAAGACAAGGATGTAGTATATAGGCCTCATATGACATCGCCTTGTGCCCAAATCAGGTACATATAGCCAAAATGGTATTTTAGTTGTATACCCTCCTATTTTGGTTCAGGAAATTCAATTTTGACAGCAATATGGAGCCAGTGTAATGAAACAGTGTGCAGGGTGTTGATAATTTATAATGCTCATTAACATAATTTATTCAACAATTTGGTGAAGGCCTCCCACTTAGAATATTTCTGACTGGGATTAATTAAAAGATAGGTGCATCAATGCCCTGTTCTGGATAACCCAGATCTCATCAGAAGTAAGCAGGGTCAGCCTTGGTTAGTACTTGGATGGGAGACCACCAAGAAGAAGAAGAAGAAGACTTGGCTTTTATACCCTGCTCCTCACTACCTGAAGGAGTCTCAGAGCAGCTCACAATTGCCTTCCCTTCCTCTCTCCACAACAGACACCCTGTGAGGTAGGTGGGGCTGAGAGAGCTCTGAGAGAACTGTGAGAGACCCAAGATGGCTGCAAGTGGAGGAGTGGGGAATCAAACCCGGTTCTCTAGATTAGAGTCCATCGCTCTTAACAACTACACCACACTTAACCGCTACACCACACAAGGAAATCCAGGATTGCTATGTGGAGGCAGGCAATGGTGAACCACCGTCTCTTCCCTTGAAAACTCCATGAGAGGTGGCCAGAAGCCAGCTGCAACTTGCCCGCCAGAAAGAAAAGTCTATCTATGGCTACTAACCATGATGGTTAAACAGAATCTCCATGCCCAGAGGCACTACACGTCTAAAGCCCAGTCACGGGGGAAGAGGGAAACAGCAGGGGAGCCTATTGCCTTCAATGACCCACGTGTTGCCTTCCTAAAGACATCTGGACAGCCACTATGAGACACAGGATGGTGACTTCTTGTCAGACTCAGCAGGACTCTCATTCTGATGATCTCTTGAGTTGGACGGACCGAACTGAAGCAACATCAGGGACCCCTGGAATGGTTTGTATGGCAGGGCCCTTTCAGAAGGGCCACTCAAGGCTGCAGAAAGTAAGAAGAAAGGGGCAACACTGTCCTTCGAGGCCTGAATAAGGCTCCACCCTCCAGGCATCCCCTTGGTTCCTTCAGGGCCTGGCTGTAAGTTTATTTCATTTATATCCCTCCAGTTTGGTGTAGTGGTTAAGTGCGTGGACTCTAATCTGGGAGAACCGGGTTTGATTCCCCACTCCTCCACTTGCACCTGCTGATGTGACCTTGGGTCAGTCACAAGCTCTGGCACAGCTGTCCTTGAAAAAGAGCAGTTTCTGTCAAGAGCTCCGTGTGCGTACTCTAATCTGGGAGAACCGAGTTTGATTCCCCACTCCTCCACTTGCACCTGCTGATGTGACCTTGGGGCAGTCAAGGGTGGGGGATAAATCCAATCTCCTCCTCCTCCTCCTCCTCCTCCTCCTCCTCCTCCTTTCTCCGCACGGTGACCCAAAATGGCTCATGTTGTTCTCCTTTCTCCCATTTCACCCTCACAACAGCCCTGTGAGGCAGGTTGGGCGGAGGGTATGCGACGGGACCATGATCACCCAGCAAGCTTCCATGGCAGGATGAGGATTCAAACCCAGAGGGTGCGTTCAGACAGGACATTTATGGCGGTATAGATGCCGGTTGGAATCGGTGTACTTACGGGCGATCACACGGCGAACATCTGCCTTCCGTCCCTAACGGTTGCAAACAGCTTTAAACCGTTGTATTCTGCTACTAGGTCCCCAAGTGGTGGTATCCTGAGTGCACCGGTTCCAACCGCATTATCCCCGTCTGATCGCTCTCCGCCGGTGTCTAGCCACTTCCGTTCAGAAACCCGAGGCTTCCGCTTTTCGGACGCCTTTTTTTTTTTTAAGCCTCCTCGATGTGCGCTTGGGCGAACCTTCGCCCCGGCGTTTGTAAAACAAACAAACAAAAAAGGTGCCTAGTGTAAGGCTTTAGATGAGTCCGGGACCTCACGGAGGCCAGTTTCAGAGTAAAAATTTAAAGGGACGTCTTCGCTTCAAGGCATGCTTTCCGGGTTGGGTTGTTCTGCGCCTGCGCAAAGATCTTCATTATAAGGACGCCTGCCTATGCGCATGTGCAAACGGTGTAAAAAAAAAAAAAACACGCCGATGTGCTCTACTGAGCGCCTGAGGTGTAGATGGGCATATCGCGATGTGCTGTGCAGTCGGGAGGTAAGTGTGATCGCGTTTCTTCTGGATCAAACTGCTCCAGTTCCAACCGGAGCAGTTTATGCCGGCTAAAATGCCCCGTCTGAACGCACGCAGAGTCTCCTAGATCCTAGTCTGACACTCTAACCATGACACCACTCTGGCTACTGGGTCAGGCCTAGTTCTTTGCCTGGCCTTGCTGCTACAGCTCTTTCTTAGGCACCTCTCTAGCTTCCCTTCCTCATCCGCCTGCACGTGGTGTGCTCCGTTCCAGTCCCCTGCCTTCACTGCCACATCTGGGCTGTCCTTCAAGCAGAACCGCCTCGGTTCTCCGCTCCGAGTCTGGTCCTGACCCTGCTGCAAAGTTGCCTATTCGGCTCCTCCTGTGCCACGGCCAGAACGGATCAAAGACCACGCTGCCTGCCCTCTGCTTTCTCCAAAAACACGACTCTGGTTTTTTCCAGCACTCCACACACACGGTAACACCACTGAAGCCGGTGAAACCAAGGGCTGCTGTCTGTCATTGCTGGCTTAATGGGAAGGAGCCCTTTCAGCTTCAGCCAGGTAAGTAACCTGACCCGGAGGTCCACGGCTAATAGCCGGCAATCACAAGGCACAAAAGGGACAGCGGCCTCAAACGGCTCTATATAAAGGCCAGCAGACAATGCCAAGCTCTGTTCTCATGGGAGTGCCAGATTCAAACGCAATTTTGTTGTTCAGTCGCACAGTCGAGTCCGACTCTTCGCGACCCCATGGACTAGATCCCGCCAGGCCCTCCTGTCTTCCGCCGTCCTCTGAAGTTTGCTCAGTTTCATGTTCGTTGCATCGATGACACTGTCTAACCATCTCATCCTTTGCCGTCCCCGTCTTCTTTGACCTTCAATCTTTCCCAGCATCAGGGTCTTCTCCAGGGAGGGCTCCCTTCTCATTGGGTGGCCAAAGTATTTGAGCTTCAGTGTCATTATCTGGCCTTCCAGGGAACAGTCAGGGTTGATTTCTTTTAGGATTGACTGATTAGATCTCCTTGCAGTCCAAGGGACTCTCAAGAGTCTTCTCCAGCACCATAGTTCAAAAGAATCTATTCTTCGGCACTCGGCCTTCCTTATAGTCCAACGCTCGCAGCCATACATGACTACTGGGAATACCATTGCTTTGACCATGCGGACTTTTGTTGGCAGGGTGATGTCTCTACTTTTTATCATGCTGTTGAGGTTCGCCATCGCTTTCCTCCCAAGGAGCAGGCGTCTTTTAATTTCATGGCTGCAGTCACAGTCTGCGGTGATCTGAGATCCCAGGAACGTGAAGTCTGTCTCTACTTCCACGACTTCCCCTTCTATTTGCCCAGGAGTGATGGGGCCGGATGCCATGATCTTAGTTTTTTTGATGTTGAGCTTGATGATCCAGGTACAATGGTTCAGTCTAAAACCTGCCTTTCAGTCCTACACTCCCATCAGCTAGGTGGAAAGACAAAAACTGTTACATGTAGGGCCCCACCTGGAGTTTGGCAACCCAAGTTACAGCAACCAGCCCACAACAGGCAGGGAATCTCCTCCTCTTATTTTCTTAGTTGTTTTATTTCCACTTCAGCACATAGAGCGACTAGCCAAAGGTCACCCAGTGAACTTCACGGCTCACCGAGGATTTGAACCCGGACCCTTCTTGTCCCATGCTCCCGCCTCTGTGCCGTGCTCAGGCCTCCCGGCCACAAGGCCACTGTAAATGTGGAAATCGATAGCACTAATTAAACAGCAAGGCTCAGACAGATCGGAGGCCGTCGCTTGTCCTTCACACCTGCAAATCTCTGTGGCTCCAGGCAGCCCGGCACTGGTCTTCGTCTCTCCTATCATGTTACACGCATATCTAGAGGACAGCTAGGATGAGTGCAAGCCTGCCCCAACTCGTGACACCCCCCAAGCTTGACAGCCATGGGCCCAACAGGGTCTAGAGTCTCAGGCAACTGCGGCTTTTCACAAATAAAAAGCCACACATGGGTTGAAATTCAGAGCAAGACATCAACAAAGACTCCATATGAGAAACCCACCTGCACAACTGAAACTACACAACTTCACATGACTGATCATGGACTTGCGGATCAACAATCCACAACTGTCCCACAGCCGAAGGGTTCCGCGAGTCCCTCAAAGAGGAAAGGGCACACGCAAGGTCTCACAGTGAA